GAGATTTTTTTTATTAATCAGTCGTTACATTCAATATTTCTTCTTATTTTTGTCCCCTTAAGAGAAGATCCGGAACCACTGTGCCTTTTAACTGCAATGTGGGGGTGGGGGTGGACGAGAGAAATTTCTGTCATTATGACAGCGTGCCTTCCTTAATGCGCGTGTAAGTATGCGAGCGATTGGGAGAGTGCGGCGGTAGCTCGGGGCAGACACATTTTTCAACTTAATTGAATTGTTTTCATGAGAGAGTGTGTGCCTCTCGATTTTCCTGGCTCTTAGTATTTTTTGGGCCTAATTAAACACCTTTGCGTGCCAGTTCATTGACTCTGCGGCGCGTAATACAAATTTAATGACCCGGCCAACCAAAGCGGCAAAAACTTGAAAAACAAATTGTTTGATTTTTGTTTATTGTATTTAATTACAATTACGCTTAGGGCGAAGTGCCGCCGCCCTGGTGGGACTACCTGAAAAAAAAAAGAAAAAGACAAAAAAATTTGTAGAAAAGAAAAGAAAAGAACTTTAATTAAAGCGCCCTACGCACGCACACACATCACATCTTAACCCCATGTTGCCACAGAAAATGTTATGCTCAGCCGCCAGCAAATCTCTTAAGTGGCGTGCGCTCTCTTTTATATCTGTTGCTATATTATTATTTTTTGTTGTTGTTGTTGTTGTTTATGTCCACAGAGCTTAAATGCGTTGAGCTTTTTGTCGAGGCGAACGGCCAATTGATCGCACACTTTCCTCCTGGCTATCAGTCGAGAACGCGAGCGTGTTGCATAAAGAACTGCGTACGGAACTATTCGGCATAGAGAACTGAGGCATTCCTACCATATACTTAGTATATAAAGCGTAAATTTTCCTATTCAAACTAATATTTATTTATAAATTTTTACAAGATTTTGTATATGTTGCGCTGTTTTTTGTTTTCGTTCCTGCTTTTGCCATCTAATTAGGATTTTTGCCATTTAAATGGAAATTTGGCGTTTTTCGCTTCTTCTTTTTTTGGTGAATTTTTGCAGCTGGAGTTGTGCGTTTTTATTTATAGCCCTCGCCAACACGAACACACACACACACGCACACGCGCGCGAGCGCTCGCACAACTGAAATTTGAAATATCTTCTATTGTTGTGTGTTTTTTCCGTTTCTTGCGCAAAACGCGTTGCACACAACGGTGCGTATGAGTGATTTGTGTTGGAAACAGCCGCCGAATTTTCACTTTTGGCACGTTGCCCGACATTACGCAGCTGTATGATCGCTTGTCTTCCGCGACGCCACAGAATTCTTGCCCTCTCTCTTGAGCACGAGTATTCTGCCCCCTTCTTCCAGCTTGTAATTTACATAAATAATTTGAAAATTAATTTTTACTTTACCTCAGTCACGTCCATTTTGCTTTGACTTTTATGTGTTGCGCTCGAGAGTGGTCGTTTCGGCAGAAAAGTACGGGTAGTATGCCTTTTCGTCAGTGGTGCACGAACCGATAAATCAAGTTGACAAACCGTGTAAATGTTACCGCAATGACACGTGTAGAAAAGTTGTGTGTTAATACGTGCGTGGGTTATGGTTTTCTAAACATATGCGATTTCTAGTACATCTGCCTTTGATCGTGCAGCTCCCAACTGCTGCCTCCACATATGGTGGCAGCCTTCAATTGATTTCATGATCTCCACTCAACTATAATCAAGACACGCATCATTTTACACATTATCTCTCCGTACCATGCCGCTGCCAAGTGATACCGAAGTAGTCATTTGTTTGTTTGTTTGCTTATTTGTTTGTAATAAGCCCTCAAGTGTCTTATGGTGTCTTATTAATGAAACAATTGTAACCCTTCGTTATGCCGTCCTAACATAAACAAAGTCACCATCTTCGTAAGCACTTTTGAATGGCGTCAGCAAAGGAAATTGTGCCCTGCCAGTGCCAGCCATCGTTGTTCGAGAATCCCACGCTTTGCGCGTTCCCAAATTTTTTCCAACTTTTGTAAACAAAATCTAGACACACACAGCGCAAAATATGAAAAAGATACCAAAAAAATAATTCGAATTTAACACAACATTTAGTTTATTTGTGTATAATTTCCGTAAATAGGGAACGAATTGAAATGTGCGCCCGGCACTGTCTCTTCTGGCTCGGCAGTATCAGTTCGGGTTGGCAAGTGCTCTGTGAAGGCAATTTAATTAATTTTGGTCTCGCATCTACTTTAGATTACACTTTCAATGAGCAATTGGCATAGAAAGATATCGAAATGAGTTCGAAAACGTTCTGGTGGAACTAAACGCCGCCAGTTGGTTAACAAGTTCAAGTTTTCAGGGAATGGAATAATTAATCGCTTGTACTCTTTAATTGTGGTTGACCAGCAATCTATGAAAAAAGTTATCTGATCTGAGAAGCAATAAGATACCACTGCGACTCGATTTAAATTTAGAATGTAAAGTTTTTCGAATCGTTTTCATTCCATTTCAATGACAATTATGGCCAGAAAGAATATCGTGTGTGAAACACGAAACTGTCGAATATCGGATTGAAATATATATAAAAAATATTAAAAAATAATTATTTGGTTAATTTGTCAATTACTCTTTATTCCATCGACTCAAAGGGAAAACTTTTGAATCCACAAAATATGAAATCCAGAAAATGCAAAGTGTATCAATTACGCTAGCCGTGCAGGCTATAATATTTCTGCCAAATTCTAAAATATGGGAACCTGTTTCTGTTTCTAATTGCTTTTTGAAAGTTCAACAATTTTAATTCTGACATCTGATTTGATGTTACCGTGCAAATTTTAATGTCTATATCAATACTATGAGGATTAAAAATACATTTTTAAATCAAAACAGGTTTTGGGCATCACTTTGAGGGAGCTTTACACTTTGCTTGGCACTTTTCTGTCATAGATTAAATAATTTGTGTTTTGTTTTGAATAATATTTTCTGTTTCCATAATGCCAATGCTTGCAAATCAATTTCCTTGAAAATGAAAACATTTCGCACAGGTTGGCAGCCCCACATGCAATTCATTCTCCGTTGTTGTTTCGAATCGATTTATTGAATCACGATTTTTAAAAATAAATGCCTTATGCTTTAAGATATTTGAATGAACTGAGAAGGTCATTAACTTATTCCGTCGTGTCGTGTAATTCCATACCTGAAGAGAATTTTCCAATATATTGGAAAACATGACAATTAATCACCTTAATTGTACATCAAAAGGTGGCAGTAGAAAAAAGTTATCAGACTTGTATGTGTTTTCAAAATCGAAGTTGCTAAACGTATTTAATTTCCAAAAACGAATAAGTTATTCGGTTTCAAAATTGGCTTGGCAAGGCAAACCCCATCGTTTGTGGGAATTGAATACATTTCACAATTTAGATTCCGGGTAATTAATCAAAATCGACAATGGAAATTAGTCCGAAAAAGTCAGTAAAATAGGTAGTTGCTAATCGATGTTTCTATATTTGAACCTAAAGCTGTTTCTATGAGAGCTAAAAATTTGCAATTTGAATCTCAGTTCCCAGTCCGCTTGATAAGCGGCACGTGTTGACAATCGCATTCTCCAGCTATCTCTACTGCTTCTCATCGTTACTTGTTCCACGATATAAGAAGTACTATACATAAGTATTATGCTAAGTATCTAAATTGTATGATAATGAACTGCTTCCGCTTGTCAGAGCGAACAGTGCACAGACAATGGGAGAGCAACTGGATTAGGTGGCGCTTAGAGTGAAGTACGGGCAGTTGTGTGGGAGCTGCATGCAAATTTTTGATTGATAGAAGATTGCGAGAGAATTGCGGCAAGAGTCGTTAGGCATACTGAAAGTACCGAGCAACGACCCTGGGACGTACTCGTATGTGTGCATATTAAGATGAAAGATGCAAACGACATGAACAGTTCGAATCCATTTAGAGTCTGGCAAACCTGCTCGACTGCTGGTCAGCGAATTGTCACTTTCGACAGTGACTTGTAAGCCATAGCTGTGCTTATCTTCAGGGCCTTACAGCCAAGTTAACATAATGAAATCTTATCGCTTCTGCTTAACGACGACAACAACAATAGCTAGAGCAACAAACACTCCCAGACGCGGCCACAGCCATTAAGTCTAAATAAAACGAATGTTTACACAAAAAAAAAAAAACAAACAAAAAAGTTATCTTGATTTCGCAGGCGATTGAAGTTTGCCTCAGCCGCACAGCCTGTAACAGAAAAAAAAGTAATTAGCTAGCCGTCGAAGATTACATACCCTTCTCACTCTGGTGTGAAGTGGTTTGTGAATGCTCTATTTGTTTACCAAGTACAACTTTTGAGTAGAACTGCACTACAACTTATAGATTTCATATCAAATCTGTGCTCATTAAATCAGGGTTCGCAGAAATTGCTCATATACTGCACAACCTCCCAGAGCTCGTGTACACATTCTGCACATGAGCAGGAGCAGCACATGAGCATGCACGAAAGACAATAAAACGGTTATTGATCTGACCTCTAATAGAAATGCAGCATTTGTGGCAATTATAACTAATTTATAAAATTAATAAAGAATGTATGTACAAGATGTTAGAGTCGTACGCCGGCGACTCTTGAATACCCTTGTATTTGGACTATGTAGTAAACTTGTTCATCGTTTTTGTAAGGATTTTAACTATAATCATAAAGATAATTATATATTGATAATGTGTGCACAGTTTGGCTTATGTCGACAGTATTGAGAAATTATGTCAGAGGAGGAGGGGAATAACAAAGTTAAATAAACTTGTGTTGCCTGGATATTGGGAGAGTCTACATATCAAGTTTCCTGAATGTGGGTTCAACCGTCTCTGAAATCCGGGCGTTCATACAGACAGACGGACGGGCGGATATAGCAATTTCGATATACATAGACTGCTTCCCTGCCTTACACACTTTGCATTGCCTTAGGAATACCTTACACATACTGAGCAGCTAAAAGTCATAAAACCAATTAGGAATTTGCTAATTTACGTCTACCTTTTCTTTTTTTACAGACTGTTCAAACCACTTGGCGGCCACAACTGCCGCTGCCCAAAGAGTTACAGCTGGCCGATGAGCAACATAGCGCGGACGATACAAAGGCCACGAACAGGATTAACGCAGACAACAACACCAACACAAGCAACAGCAACAACAACGAAGACAACGATTACAACCTTAACAACAGCCAACCTCTGAGTCCAGCACCTAACGCGGAGGAAATGGAGCGCCTGCGCAACAGCGGTTCAATGAGCGGCTCACAGCAGCTGACAAATAAACAGAAATGGTCGTTTGGCCGATTATTTCGCAAGAAGAAGGACATTGAGAGCGGCTCTTCGAGCGAAGAGGATCGAAAGGCGGGATTTGTGCCCGCACAGCGCCAAGGTGCAGGCAAACCGAAGACTAAGCATTCGAAGGCACAGCGCAAAGCGCTCGGCTTCGATCATATTGTGGTGCCGCCACAGCAGCAGCAGCAGCAACAACAGCAACAATATCAGCAACAAACTGAACCACAGGCGCATCATCAATCGCATCAGCACATCGACAATGAGTTCTTCTTACCAGTGGAAATGGTGCCACAGGAGCCCTACTATCAGAATCAACAGCAGTACCAGCAGCGAGGCTATTATGGCAGTCGCTCTACCAATTCATTGGATCGTCGCATGTTGGCGGCCAATGCCACACATGTGCCTCACAAATCGCGCTCGGCCCAGCGAGGTGCTCTCCAGAAGTCGGGCAGTGGTGCCCACTCGAGCGAGGAGGAGCCGGAAATCATTTCGCTGAACTCCTCCACCTTTTCCAAATACCGCAGCGACGAGAGCATTCATAGTGGCGGACAGGCGCTTCAACAAGGCGGACAGAGTCGACGCAGTCGGGCCGCACGCAATGAACGCTACTACAAGCGATTGTCGCGGGATGGTGAGCAGAGTCATGGCGGTGTGCCGGCTCAGGTAATGCAGGCCCAGCCGCCGGCACAGCGTTGGAAGACACAGCCGGTACCTTTGTCTATTTATCAGCCACCCCCACAGCAGCAGCAACAGCAAGCACATCCGCATCAGCGACTGCGCAACACAAGCAGCTTGCAGAATATGCAAACACCCTATGTGCAATGGCATCAGTTGCAACAACAACAACAGCAACAGCAGCAACAACAACAACAACTTCAACAGCAGCAAAAACAACAGCCTCAATACACACAGAAGGGTCTGCAGAACGCCATGCAGCAGGATGGCAAGCGTAGCATCAGCTATGACAGTCACATTCATTTGCAAAATGTCAATGGAAGATTGCAGAGCAAGCCATTGCCGCCGCCCCCACCTCCGCGGGATCCATTGCGACGCGTGCATGTCGGCTCCCATCTGGGAAATGGCAGTTCGAGTGATTTGCGCCCCGTCTCCTATGCCTTCGATCAGTGTGGCGTGCCTGTTTTGGGTTTGGGCGGTCGCTGCGTCTCCGACGATCGCATCTGGCAGCCACAAATGCCGCAATACCAATCCGTGCACTCCCTGAACACACCCAGCTCTTCCATTGTGAGCGCACCCGCTACCAATGCGCATCATCGTCGCTTCATAACGCGTGCCGAGCGCGATGCACAACCTGGCAAGAAGTCGCTGCCCAACGGCATTGATTTCCATTATGTGGCCGATGCCACACCACGTTCCAGGAAACCCATACATATGCTGGACGCAACGTCAGCCACGGGCAGTTCCCTGGCTGTGGGGGAGTCGCCGCCACCATCGAGCGGCATTTTGCGTACCTCAAAGAGTGGTTTACCGACGCCACCTTCCACACCAGCCTCCCATGCGGCTAGCGAATTCTGGCAGCGTTTGGACGAGGGCTCGCAGCGTCTAACACGTGGTCGCAGTGTAGCCGAACCGGTGGCCAAGCCACGCTCTATTAGCTCCTCGCGTGTGAACGAGTTACGCAGCTATCCCATACCCATGTACTCGGAGGTGCAGAAACCAAAGCGTTCGCAACAAGCCGCACCACCACCAATGCGCGATGAGGTCGACAATGTTATCTGCGGCAGCTTGCACATCAAACCCAGCGAGCATAGTCAGCAGGATAACTATGTGGAGATACGTAATCGTGATGTGCACAAAACGAACTCGATGCCGCATCATTATCAGCGACGTTCCGGTGATTATACAGCTCCAACTACCCCCACTACACCCAATAAGTACGATGAGTATGTTGCTGAGAAGCGGGAGCAGCATCAACAGGCGCCTATATTCTCCGCCGCTCCCCCTCTGCCCGAACGAAAGCCCAGTGCCCCGGCCATTTACTTTCCGCGCAAGAAACCCGCCAATCTGGAAGAGGCCATCAATGAGCTGGAAGCCATATACAAGTCGTTGGGGCTAACAGAACCGCCAGAGCCGAAGCAGCCGACAGTGGCACCAGCCGTGCCCGCTCCACGAGTTCGTGTGCCGACGCCCAGTGACTTCGATAAGTTCGCCTTGGCTCATGCTGACGAGTATAACGATGAGGATTCGCCAACTGGCGAGCCCGATCCAGTGCGCGATGATGTAGCCTATCGAAATCTTCAGTTGGCCAATTTACAGCACAGAGCATCAGAGAAGCAGCCACCCTTTGGAATACCAGTTGGTCCCATTGTTCCAGCACCACAATCGGACTATCTGCACGTAGAGCCGGTGCGTGAGAAGAAGAAGACCAGCTCACCGGACATTGTCAAGGATGATCTGGCTGTTCGCGCTCTACGTAAGGATCCTCCAGGTCCCAAGCCACATTTTGTTTACCCCACGGGCGCTATGCAAAAGAAACATCGGGCCACACGCACCCAATCGGCCAACATCTACAATTTGATTCAACGAGATGCGGCCAAACCTTCTGGTGGGGACCTTCGTAGCTACATGGAGCTTACACGTAGCCTAGAGCGTGCTGGTAGCATGTCGGATCTACATAGAGAGGCCGACACCAGTGACATACCCGCCACTCTGGATCTTCTGCGCAAACTGAAAGCGCAGGACGAAGAAGCAGCATCCGCCAAGAAGCCGCACATACCCTTCCGGCATCCCAGTCAGGGTGGCGCCATTGCCCAGCTTCCAGAACGCTTGACCAATGCCATCGAGGCACAGAAGACACCCGTGCCACTGCCACGCAAGAGCCTAACACCCGAGCCCATCATAGGTCATCATCAAATGGAAGACGCGCTGAACAAGATTGCCCAAGACGCTCAAGAGAGCAGTATTAAGTTGAGCAAAGAACTGCAGGAGTTGCGAAAAGAGGCGCTCATCACATCTGCTCGCCCCAAACTGAATGCCGAGGAGCAAAAGCTGGAGCAAGAGCTGCAGGAGATTGAAGCCGTGTCGGAGGCAGCTAAGCGCTGTGGCAAAATGCTTCTAGACACCCTACCCGATGCACACGAGTTGCCTGAGGAGGTGTCAGCCAAACCCGCTCGGAAGCTACACAAGGAGGGAAAACTGATCAAGGCGATTGATCAGGTCTCGGAGGCAGCCAATGCCGTGTGTGAGAAGATTCTCAAGGATATTGTGACCACCGAACCACCAGTCATTGTGCACGAGGCTATACAAGTGAAGCAGACGACGCCATTGGCCACGTCGACATCTGCGGACCAACCCCTAGTCATGCCGATACTTATCAAGAAACTGGATCCCATACAATCGGAGAAGATTGAGGCCATTGCCAATCGTTGCATGCGTCAAATAAGCGAACTAGCGGCTGAAACGGCGGACTATGACAATCTGCAGAATGCTGCTGCCTGTAATATGAACACTGGAGCTGGCGGCAACTCAGCTGAACCCACTCTCATTTCTACCGTTCCAGAGGTAGTCGACCAGCAGCCAAAGACACGGGCCCAAGTCAAGGCGCAAACGCTCGATGATATTGATAAGATCATGCAGGAGTGTGAACGTCAGGCGCGCAACAACAGCCAGTCCACCAAGCACTCAGATGTGTCCACAGATGATCAGCGTACGACGGCGCCGAGCATGACGAGCAGCAGTGGCAGCGCGCAGGCGCATCCAAGCACCACAGCATCATCCTTCTCCTCGTCCAGCGATTGCCTAGCCAAATCCTCCAGCCCAACGAACGCCAGCCGGCCGCTCTCCTCCAGCATTACCTCGTTCAATCCGTACTCCTCGAGCGACTACATCAAGTCGCCGAGCAGCGAGTACACACATGCACCCAGCACCGACCCCATTAAGACCTTCAGCACCACGTCGTACGACGTGAAGTCGACCACAAGTGCTACACCAAACATAACGAGCGGCATGCACAGCACCAGCACGAGTAGTACGAATTGCACCGACAACAATCAAACCGCCAGTGCACCACCGTATGTCTATGCGCCGTCGCAGTCGCCATCGCCCTCGCCGCCGCTCAACTTGACGCCTGTGAGCGGTCGACGACAGCGCTCGTCTTCGCCCTCGCAGTACAACTCCTCCGAGGAGTTGGCCGCCATTTTTGGCATCGAGGAGCAGCCGAAGAAACGCTCCAAAATGGCAATAACTACAGGTAAAGGCAGCAACGATTCCCACACTGCCACAACGTCATCATCAGCTAAGCCCAACAACAAATTGTGCAATCAAGAAGCCCACATTTCTGCTGCTACTACCACTAATCCCTGCTGCGCCCCCGCTACGCTCGCCCCAGCCTTGAATGCTACTACTACTACTACTATTAATACAGTTATGAATGTTGATTTCAATGTTGATGTTAATACCATCCAAGACACCATGCCCACAGTCACCAATATACCCACTAATGCCAGTGCCAGTAGCTCTAGTAGTTGCAGTAATCATAGTTATAAGTTAGCCACCATACCGGAACAGGAGCACGAACCAGAGTCTGATGCCGAAGTGGAAGCCGAAGCTGAAGAAGTTTTGAAGCTGTCGCCCAACTTTAATCGCATCTATGCGAGCAAAATAGATATTGTTGTAGACAAGACCCAGCCAGACGTCCCGGAGCTTCCCGCGGCACCCCTCACTGAATACGATTCCTTGAGTTCGCTGGAGGAGACCTCATCGAATCCGGACTCCGGGAATGTTAGTTTGGCCGACTTTCCTTTGGCTGCGCACACAAATGCGTCGATTGAACTGCAATCGACCTACAATAGTCGTTTCGAGGTTAAGGAGCATTATGTCTCTGAGGTGTTAATCAGTCCAGGGCAGACAACTACAGACGAAGACACTGATACCGAGGAAGTAGGTGATGTTAAAATAGAAGATTTTCCACGCTTGCCCACAGAGGAGGAGCTGCTAGAGAGCTTGCGGGAGGAAGTGAATAGTCGGGAACTTGACGAAACCGTTAAAGCCAGCTCCAGAAAGAACGAAGAAAAGTTAGAAGGGGTTAGCTTAGAAGTAGTTAAAAAAGAGGTAGCAGATGATATTAAAACCGTACCAGTTGAAGAACTTGAGGAACCTCTGAGTGCAGAGAAAGTATTAGAGACCTATCCTAGCAACGCAGAAACTGTCACAGATCTTTCCAAAACAGACACAATTACAGAACTTGCGGAATTCAACGCACTTAGTGAAGACGTCTATAAGCTGACAACCACTGAAGCGTTGCAAAAAGTTGCAGAAGAATTCGATAATTTAGAAGGAGTTACGAAGGAGGTACAACATGATATTAAAACCGACCCAGTTGCAGAACTTGACGAACCTCTGGGTGCAGACAAAGTATTAGAGGACGATCTAGGAAACGCAGGCGAAATATTGACAGAAATTGTAGAACTTGCGGAATTCAACGCACTTAGTGAAGACGTCTATAAGCTGACAACCACTGAAGCGTTGCAAAAAGTTGCAGAAGAATTCGATAATTTAGAAGGAGTTACGAAGGAGGTACAAGATGATGTTGAAACCGACCCAGTTGCAGAACTTGACGAACCTCTGAGTGCAGACAAAGTATTAGAGGACGATCTAGGAAACGCAGGCGAAATCTTGACAGAAATTGTAGAACTTGCGGAATTCAACGCACTTAGTGAAGACGTCTATAAGCTGACAACCACTGAAGCGTTGCAAAAAGTTGACGAAGAATTCAATGACTTATGGAACTTATCCGATAACGAGCTCGATGAGTGCGATGCTGCAGCGCGTCGAAAGAGCATCGTTTACGAGACGCCACAAATAAACTTGAGCATTTCGGAATTGAAACTGCAGTACGAGACCAAAGTAGAGCACGATGAGTCCATTGATGAAGGGCCTCAACAAGTCATTGACAATGCCAACGATGGCAGGGCAATTAACGACACTTTGGCACGTAATGGGCTCAAGCAAAGCGAAGATGGAGATGAGGCCAAAGGACTTCCGGCGGCGCAGCAACGGGACGAGGACGGCGATGACGACCGGCCAACAACCAGTTCGAAGGCGCTCTCCGTCTTCGGCGAGGTGCGATGTGTGCGACCGGCGGCCGGCCGTGCTGCGACGGCGCATAGTCTGACGACTCTCGAGCACGTACTTGTCGCCTGCACAGTGGGCCTAATTACACCAAACGATTTGCTCACACTCTGCCTCATCGTAATTGGTGTGATTATCATTGTTGCGATTGCGCTCGCCTGAGCAGCATATTTCTTTGCTGCTGCTGCTGCTGTTGTTGTTGTTGTTGTTGTTATTATTATTATTGTTGTTATGAGAGATTGTTTAACATTTTTTTCAAATTCACTTCGAAATGTGCAGGAAGGTTATTTTTTCTACCGAAAGTATTCTCAATTCTACTTATAATTTATAAGACTAAGCCGAGTCCACAAACACATTTGTTTATTATTAAGTTAATAGTTTAACTCTCTGCCCAATGTGCAATTAATTCATCAAAATTCATAACCATTTTCTTTAACACTACCTTATTATTGTTATTATTACACTTAATACTTTGTCTTAATTAATATGTTTGCATTTTATGTTTATGTTAATTTAGACTGCAACTTGTGCCAATGATTTATTTAATCTTGATTATGTTTCATGAATTAATGCATTAATCTATAGTTTGTAAATTCTATATATTGTTAAGCACACGAAACGCAACAACGAATTCAAAATCGTTAATATATACTTATAACCGTTAACATATATACATACATATACTATACTTACTAATGAAAACTATTTTTGAAATCTCTCTGTATATTTTCAGCAATTTAATAGTTTAAGTTGTCATTTAATCTTAATTAAGACATTATTTCTCCACCCATCTTCATTACAATTTCGAACAAATTTGTGTAGGTTTCTTCTAAACGCTATCATTTTTCCAGATGATTATTATTTTAAACAAACGAACGCAGTGACCAAGCATAATTATACACTTAAATATTATTATTAATAAAATGTTATTTGAAAACAAGAAACTTGCCGGACTTCTCGTATTTCGTTTTATTTGTTTGTGTTGTTTCTAATTCCAAGCTTGCTTTTTCGTTATTTCTTTCAATCCTTATTTTGACCAAAAGATCTCCAAATATTTTCCTCCTACACTTCCTTTCCCAATTTAACTAACTTTGCTAATAAAACCTGATTGAAACAAGCCCGAAGAATTTGTTTTTACTTAATGCTGTTGTTGTTGTTGTTGAAAAATGCCGCCAAATGCTAACATTAATATTGACTGCACCTATACTTGTACATAATACTTACAACTGCTTTGATATGTTCTACATTATGTTAAAAAATAATATAATTATAAGACCGAACGATAATCTCAAAGATTAATGCTTAAATTTCAGCAATTCCTTATAGCGTCGATATAGTCATAATTTTTCAGAGTTTGTGTCAATAGACTTCATTATATTTACGCATATTTATAATTGAAAACAGGCCCGAAATATTCGCATTTGTACTTTTTTGATAGCCCTATTTGCAATTTCAATGATAGAAAGGTGAAACCTTACAAGACTTTAAATTTTAATGCTGTTTAATCAAGCCAAATGCGTTTTTAATCGCCCTCTGAACTACTATAATTGAAAGATTCTCATAAAATTTCATAATATCCCTAATATAACATTTTAATCAGACTTTATCATATTTGAACAGATTAAGGTTTTTAGACTTCGAATACTTTGAACATAGAAGACTTCAAAACAGTACATTTTTGAAAACTCTCTTCCCAATTTGAATGATAGAAAGAGTAACCTTACATTTTAATATTATTTAAACAATTACGTTTTTATCTTTAAGTTATATACTTATATATAACTTAGATAACCTTTAACTTTTCATAGTTTTCAACATTTGGTTTAAAGACATAAAACGTCACATTTTAATGGGACTTAGTCATCTTACAGGTTACAATTTTTAGATACGCCCGTTCCTAAATAGTTTTTAACTTATACTTATAAAAGACTTAATTCATTTTTAAGGTCTTTTTCCCCATTTACAGTATAAAAGAAACAAATCGTAGTCACCATCTCAACTAATGAATAAAAACTTTCAAGTCATAATTTTTATTTAATTGTTTCAATATCATAAAGATGCCCCATTTTATTAAAGTTATTCCAAACCTGTAAATCCGACAATATACATAAATTTATTTCTCAATTTTTCATGGCTATTCGAGAACTATTAATATTTATAAAGGAAAACTAAAAATGAAAACTAATGTAGTATATATAGAAATATCTGTCCGTCTTTATCAACACCGAGAGCTTTTAAGCCAAAGCAGTTAGGAAACCAAACTTGGAATGCAGACTATAGTAGTCTTAGGCATTCTTAGTGCGAGTTCATTACAAACTTTATATAGCCAAATTATTTCATATAGTTGCCATATAAACTTAAAATGGTCTCGTTTTAAAATTTCAGTCTCCACAGTTTTTGGGGCTTTTAAAAAATAACGACAATTTTTTGTTCGAAAACTACATACTTGCTGGTCTGGTTGCTGTCTTCGCTTACACGCAAAGCTTTCAAGTGAGAAAGCTTTCGAACTTACCGTTACAAAACGCCACCTAGCGGTTTCACGAGCTAAGCTTAAATGGCAACACATTTGAAATAGTCAGCCATTTTGGTTTTATTATAAAAAGGCGCGTTTGGCCAACCAGCAAATACTTAACACGTGCGAGCCTGTTGCTGTGGTTTGCATCTCAAGGTCCTTGGTCCTTTTTGTTTGCGATCAGGTTTCGATTCCCTGTCTAGACACGAAAGATGTATTAAAGATTTATTCCAAAGAAGCAACGCAAACGTGCGCACATTTTTGGGTTCAGCGTTCGAAAACAAATTGGTAAGCGCGGCCAAAACATATTCAACAGTCTGCCACACACACACACACACACATGCAGACAATAAGGCGCACAAACACACATGTATTGCTTAGGACTTAGCAGGGATGCTGTTTACATTTCATATTCCAGTCTTTCGCTCCCCCTAGCATGTGTGTGTGTATATATTTAAGTTGCCTTGTTGTGGGGCCAGACAAAAAAAAACTTTCGTATGGGGTGTACTTTTTCTTTTAAAGAAAAAAGGAAAATAATAACAGCTAAAACATCAAGCGAAAGTCTTGGGTCATAATGAAGCCAATTCAATGAATTTTTGCCCGCAAAG